GGGGGGACCAGGGAGGATGATTCAACCACTCAACCACTAGATGACGCTGAAAACAACAAATCCTACACACTGTGCCTTCAAGCTTATTTTCTGTTTTCTTCCTATGGCACTTTGCATTGTTCTGCATTTTACCCTTGAATACAGTTATTTGTATCTGACACTCAGTCAGCTGGTCGAGGGTCATATTTCCGACTCTCTTCGATACGATCTTTGATCCATCGCCCTGGTGGCCTGTAAGCGTTCAAACTCGTGTCGGCTGTTTCTGTCAGGACTGAGATTTGCCAACGCCCTGCTCCCGCCACCTAGATCCTCCTCTTCCTCCTCCTCCTCCTCGTCCCGATTGAGGAAGGCCAGCTCGTTCTCATAGCAGAAGGTATTAGAATTGGGGACTAAGAACTTGTTYTCCACCATTTCCTTGGCACTGCAGCGTGGAGTGGATGGGACCTCATAGGTTTTGTGAAAGTGAGAATAATCCACCTTGTASAGGTTCTTCTCCTCGAACAGGACCGGCTCAAACCTGTGACCCCAAAGGATCTCAGAAGCCAGGTAGGAGCTGCGAGCCTGCGTGGTCATGGCGGTTGCTTCGACCATCCCTTCCAGGATGACGACGATCTCAAAGTCTGCGGACTCCAAGTCCTGTTTGCTGATCCCAAACAGAGGGCTCTCCTCATCTATCTCATGGAGAATTGTTATAGGTGAAACTAAGAAAATCCGGTCCAATCCTTTGTCAAACCCGACATTAATGTCTATCTGGTCCAGAGGAATATATTCCCCTTCATCAGTTATTCGAGGTTTGATGAGCTGTGCTCTGACGTGGGCCTCGACGATGTGACTTTTACGAAGATTCCCAACCCTCCACATGAGACACAGCTTTCCGTCCCGCATGGCGATGACAGCGTTGTGGCTAAACAAGAGTGTCTGTGCTCGCTTTTTAGGTCTCGCCATTTTAGCCATGATTGCGCCAATCATAAAACAATCGATGATACAGCCCACAATCGACTGAAAGACCACCATGAAGACCGCCACCGGGCACTCCTCAGTCACGCAGCGGTAGCCGTAACCTATAGTAGACTGTGTTTCAATGGAGAATAGAAAGGCAGCCACAAATCCATTGACCTGTAGGACGCAGGGAGTGAAGTTATCATCCCCAGCTGGGTTATCCAGATCTCCATGAAGCAAAGCAATGACCCAAAACGCCACCCCGAAGGCCAGCCAGGAGAGAACAAAGACAAGAGTGAAGACTACCAGCATCCATCGCCAGCGAATATCAACACACGTGGTGAAGATGTCAGCCATGTAACGCTGTGACTTGTCGTCCATGTTGGCGAACTGCACATTGCACTGGCCGTTCTTGGTCACGAAGCGGTTGCGGCACTTTCGGCGCGTGTGGATCTTGCCATTGCCAAAGCCGTTCATGCCATGCATGGTAGTGAGGCGGAGCCCCTCTTCCTCGGACGACACAATGCTGTAGCGGTTGATTCGTCCCACACTCATRCTCTTGACGTCCCCTCCAGCTGCAGAGCTCGAGGAGAAGGGCAGGCCTGGAGTCCAAGTCTGTGATCAAGGCCCCTCACAGCTTGATCCCTGGCAAAGCTGCATTTTAGTGCCTCATTTAGGCAGCAGGGCGGGAGATCTGTGAGTGAATCCAGTCCCTGTAGAGAGTGTCAGAAGAGAACATGTATGAGCGACATGATGGTCTGGTCACACACACACCACAAAAAATGACCCTTGAATATTTTAAACAAATGAGCATATGAGCATGCTTAAGATCATGCTTGATATTATTTTATTCCTACTCCATTTCGAACATGTTGAGATTATTATTGTCATAAAATATATGCATTTTGTATTTAATATGTGTAATATGTTTAAGTATGGTTATCTCTTTGTATGGTCATCATGTTCGAAATAAATTTGTTTGATTGATTGATTGATTGATTGATTGATTGATTGATTGATTGATTGATTGATTGATTTTCCAGATCTGGCCAAAACAATCTACTCATTTCACTGCATAAATCAATCATAAAAAAATAAGGCTTGAAAATGAAACATTTTTAAAGGAATGTTAGGAATTGAACTACTATCCACCATTCACGTCTTTTGCTGTTGACAAAGGTGGATTCTTGCTGTTCTAAAACAACTGACACAGCATTGCACAATTATTGTTATAAACATGGAATAAAATTAAATAAAATTATATTTGGTAGATTGTTTCTTTGTTGCAACAAAG